TAGCCTCACTGACCCTCTGTTGCCTTGCCTGTAAAATGGAGCTAGAAATAACACTTCCCTGCTTACCTTATGTGGTCAGGAAAATATGAGCACAAATACAAATCACCGTCACAATAAAATCCCAGCCGATAACACAAGCTGTTTCCCATAATCTGCATTTAAAATTCTTTTAAACTAATGCAAGGGAGACAAGTGTGTAAGCGATGTGAGTTCGGAAACCATGACTTTTCTCTGTGAATCTTGCTGTATAATTGGTGTGACTGGCTCTCCCACTCTGCTGTGTGCTTGATTAGAGCTGATCAAGGAAGTGCTGTCCCTGGATGAGAAGATCCACGACCTGGCCCTGGAGCTCTACACGCAGAGGTCGCTTCTGGTCATGGGGCGAGGCTACAACTATGCCACGTGCCTGGAAGGAGCCCTGGTGAGCACCCTCTGCCCAATCCCCACCTCCACCGGGCCCTGAGTGAGGGCAGGAGCGAGAGACACCTCAGGAAACTACAGGAAGAAGGGCAGGGCATTGGGCTAGGGGCGGGGAGGGTGTCCCTCTCTGACCCAGTGTTCTAGCCCTGCTGACAGGGAGATGCAGGTCTCTCCTGCAGAGAGGGGCAGGGCCCAGAGCCCTGGGGTGTGAGCCTACACCAGGCGCTATCTGGGATAGCCCATTCAAACCTCATGAGCATCTTCTGAGAGACTGGCAGTTATTGTTCACGTTTGACCCAGGAGGACACTGAGCCTCCAAAAAATTCACCTTGCTCAAGATTACATAGTAGAAGTGATCAACCTGAAATTCAAACTCAGTTGAAAAAAAAAACAAACACTTTGCTTTTTTCTATTACCACAAGAAGTCTGTGTGGGAGGATTTGGGCAGACCAGAACTGCAAGGTAAAGTCTCTACAAAGTTTCCCGTGTTACTCCTCAATCTTCTGAGGTGAGGTGAGATCCTACAGGAGATAAGCATAGAAAGCCATGCAGTTTTTATATCAATGACTGGCTGTTTTGCCCACTGCAGCAATAAAGATGTGGCTTGAGAGAAAGCTGATGGAGTAGGGGCAAGATACCAAGACCACAGGGCTACTAAGAGGGTGGAAAGAGATGTACAGAGACCCGAGCCTAGAGCTTGGCTTACTCACTCTCCACTTGCTGTTTATGCATCAGATGATCAAGCAAGGTAAATGGGAGACAGTGTCAGAAGGGCGGCAGCATCTATAACTCAGCTAGAACCCCCTCCTCTCCCTGTGGAGCAAGTGCCTCTACCCCACCACTGCGCCCAGTTGGAATAATGATGCCACTGGCGGGAAACAGTATTATAGGAGGTAGGGAATTGGGGTGAGGTGCAAGCCATGAGTTGCCTGATTGCAGTAAGCTTCAGCTCCCACATCCTTCCAGTGGAGATTCTGCGTCTGTGAGAGGCCAAGCACACAGCTGCTTAGGAGCAATAGCCTCATTGCTCAGGCGGGGCACCTTTTCGGTACCCCACAGCTATCCTCTGCTGTCTAGTGTGGGGTGCTCAGCTGCAGCTCCTGAGTGTGCTGGTGAAAGATGCATATTCAACTGTCTCCAAGTTAGTCCTGGAGGAAAGAAAGAAGCTTTTACACTGCTGCTGGCACAAGTCCGTGGCCCCTCTGTGGTCGCTTGGGCACAGTACTTCTGCTGTCTGCAGCATCCAGGGTGGAGCCACACTTCTAACAATGTTTCCCTGACCCAAATAGTTCTAGGGGAGTTGACAAATGTTTTCTTCAACACTCTCACCAGTTCAGTGACATGGGTTTTAATGGTAACTGGGGGAAAAAAAAATGGATCTCTCTAAACATAGGAGGAAGCTCCATTAACACCCCAGTGTGTGTCTTTTTGCTTAACAGTTAAGTTGGAGCAACACTTTAGAAGTTATTAATGATCTAGAATTGAGGGATTGGTTAATCAGATAATTAAATGAAGGTGTAGAATACAATGCCATCATTACAAACTCTGACTGTTAGGGAAACCATGGGGCTGGCTCAAAAGGAAAGGGGAAAAGCTAGATTGATACTGACTTGCCCATCACGGTGGGGGCAGGATGGCTGTGCCCCAGAGCTAGCGACTGAGGACACAAGCTGTGTGCTGGGCTTTGTGCGTGCTCTAGACACCAGGTAACCCTCTTCCCTGGGCCTGGCCTCACTGGCTGCCCCCAGTACCACTGACCACTCCAGTGTGTCCATCTGCCTGTGGACCTCAGCTCCCTGCTTCCTGGATCATCCTTTCCCTGGCTTCCCTTTCTCCCCACTGGATGATCTGCTCCCATTAGCAGCATGACACTGATTCTGCCTCATGTTTCCCCAGAAAATTAAAGAGATAACCTACATGCACTCAGAAGGCATCCTGGCTGGAGAGTTGAAGCACGGCCCCCTGGCACTGATTGACAAGCAGATGCCTGTCATCATGGTCATCATGAAGGATCCTTGCTTTGCCAAATGCCAGAACGCCCTGCAGCAGGTCACAGCCCGCCAGGTGAGGCCTTCCGCCAGGCTGGGTCACTTCTCTCCTGTTCTCTTCCGTTCATGCCCACCTCACCCACTGTTGGCCAGTACCAGCAATGAGTGTTCGTTCCTGCTGGTGAGCAGGTGTAGGCACACACTTCTGGGATCCCTCACGCATGGTGCACATTCAGAAAGGGACTGGCCAGCCTGCAGCCATGCCCACAGAAGCTCCTAGGTGAAGCCCAGTGATCCAGATGACCCGGAGGGGTCCTGGATCCGAAACATGAGACCGAAGGAGGTCTGGTGGAGATCCCTGGAGAGCAGTTCTGATACTGGCCACCCAGAGTTAGATTTAGGTGAAGGACTCTGTCCTCTACAAGACCACCCTCAACATCAGCCACCAACTGCAGTCTTTCGGCTTCCCAGCCCACCCACATTTCTGACCAACTGGATCCAAATTCAGGAGTTTCCATTACTGAAACCGCCCCCCACCTCCAGTTTCATTAGTCCACTAGAACTTGGAAAACACAGGCTGCTTCCTCTGCCCCAAACAGTCTTCCCACCTTTCTTCCAGCAGTTGGCCTCTCATCATTCAGGTCTCACTACAAATGCCTCCTTTTCAGAGAACCTCTCAAACCTTCCCACTGTCTCCCAATCATGTTACGGGGTTTTACTGCCATGGTGACATTTATCGGAAATTCACTGCTATTTATTGGTTTGCTTATTGACATTTTTGTTTTCCTACCACTTGACTATGAGCCCCTAGAGTAAGGGGTAAGAACTCCTGCTCTTTGCAAGGCACACTGAAGCCACTCAATAAATGGGTGCTGAATTAATGCAGCAGGAGGGTGCCCCACCACCACAACCACGGAAGCATAGGAACCTTTTTGACAAAAGCCTCCAAACTCTTTGACCTTTACACAAATCAGATACCTCACCTGACCCATAACTCCAGCAAAGACAAAAGATCACTGTTATTATTGCAATACGTTGATCTTAGAAACTCTGCTGTGTGTGACGGATTGCTCCTTTCAGAGATGACCTGCATCTGTGATCACATTTCTCTGTCTTAGGGTCGCCCGATTATACTCTGCTCCAAGGACGACACCGAGAGCTCCAAGTTCGCATATAAAACGATCGAGCTGCCCCACACCGTGGACTGCCTGCAGGGCATCCTGAGTGTGATTCCACTGCAGCTCCTCTCCTTCCACCTGGCTGTACTCCGAGGATATGACGTACGTCTAAAAATTGCACCTCATCCAGCAAAGGGGAGAGCCATAATCCCAGAGTTCCATTTGGCTCTTAAATACTTATTGGGTATAAATATTCATAAGGGAAATATTTTCATTTAAAATAATTTTTTAAAGTAACTCTTATCCCCTGAAAACAACGACAGGAACTGCAAGATGTGTGAAGACCGTATTAAACCATAAGCTTCTCACCCAGAGGCAATTTGATGAGCAAATTTAATATCTTAGTTTGGTCTTTTCCTTGTGCCTGTAAATTTTTTAAGATTTTTTGAGATAATATCAAGGATGAAATTTCACAACTTTCTTTTTAATACATTACAAGTGTATACAAGTTCTGAGATCTTGAACTTGTAAGCAGCATTTGATCATTGCACAATATTCCACACAGTCTTATAGATTTTTACAGTGACTTAATCAGTCTTCTATTGGTTAAACTGTTTCTAATCTTTTGGAATATCTGCATAAATAACAAATGCAGCGAATTATCTTTGTGCATATGTACATCTTCCTCCCATATTAGAAAGTTTATCCTCAATCTAGCAAATCATTCAACATTTTGGGATTCCTATTTCAATTTCTGTTCCAGAAAAGAACCAATTTATGATCTCACCAGGAAGTGTGTGTGCAGATAGAAGTTTTATTACAATTTTATTCTGAGGAGCTTTAAAAAATACATATCAACAACAAAAACAATATAACAAACATCCGATGGTACATATATCATCCATCATTGACATTTGTTTCTTCTCTTCTTTAATGTTATTGTAAACAAAATAAGACCCTGCAGATAAATTTGAAGCCCACTTCACCATCCTCAGTCACATTTCCTTCCCAAGCCCCACCCTTAACCAATATTTTAGTGTGTGTACTTCCAAGAAAAGTGAATTTTTAACAGTACAAACTGAGCTAGCTGTTTTTAATAGCATGAATCATATCCTTCTAATAGTGTTAACACTGCATGACACATATCAGGTGCACCATTAACGTTTACTGTATAAACATAATTGTTTCTCGAATAAGAAATCCCTTCCAAGATGCAGGTCTCAAGGAGCTCATGGTTGGAGGTGCCCAGGAATGTTCATCTTCCTATTGTAAAGTACTTTGAGAGCTGGCTTTACAACACTGTGTTGCTGAGACCTGTGGGTCTGAGCAGCTACTTTCTGTTGTTGTAGGTTGACTTCCCCAGAAATCTGGCCAAGTCTGTAACTGTGGAATGAGGACGGAGAGGAGACCACTGCCACCTTGAAGACCTGTCCCAGTGAAACCGAGTGGGAAGAAAAGCTGGCGTTGGGCGTGTTCTCAGTAGATCCCGATAGAGCTTGACAGCTTCGATGTGCCTTGTACCCAAGTGCTTTGCTTACAGCAGGTAGTCTTTTCTCTGTGTCCTGAAGTTGCCAGAGGAGAAGGGAATCATTGTTTACACATGGGGATCTGAGCAGACTCTTCCAATACCGTGCAATAGAGATACAGCTCTCTTCAGAGTAACTGTGAACCTTTTTTAACCAACACTAGTTAAAGACAAAGTATTTATAATGACAGTTGTATAGCTTTTAAGTTATTTTTCTAGTATGTGGCTTTCTGTAAAAAACGGTGCCCTCGGGCACCCAGCCCCCTGGCAGGGAATGTTCATCTCAGATCTGAGTGCCAGGCATTGCCCCTCTGGACTCCTTTCTCCTGTCCCATCCTCTCCTGGCTGCTACTGAGTCCTGTGCCCTGACCTCGGGGAAGCTCCCTCCCACCATCTTCCTATGCCTCCACAGGTCTACCACACCACAGCTCTTTTCAACAGTGTCTTCTCATCTAAATCTCTCTGACTGTCCAACTTCTCTTTCATCTCATCATGGTTCTTTTTCAGCCCAGGCAGCGTTTTGGTCCCTGCTCCTGCCCATAGTAAAAACAGCCCAAAAAATCCCATGCAAGAGAATAGTTTCAAGTGGGCTACCTTGCCCTCTATTTAAAAGCATGCACAATCAAAGTACTATGCAATTTTAAGACAATAAATAACAGTAAAATTTTGTGTGTGTGTGTGTTAATCTTGTTCTTTTTGTGTACATATTTTTTGAGGGCTCCTCAAAACAAACTGAGCAGTAACTCATGGGGGCGGCCCTGTTTCTTGGTAGCCACTGGCATTGTCCCCATACCCATGACCTGTATGCTTCTAGAAGGAAAATGAGGACTGTGTTAGGGTGGAACAAAATGCAGGAGGTTTGGAACTCTGGAATGAGAATCCACTCGACAGATGTTGGAGGGGGTTGGGCCACGAGATGCTGCTTGAGATGGCTGCCCAGAGCCTGCACACAGCATACAGAGGTGAAACTCAAGATTTGTACTTTTTTCCCCAATGATCCTATAAAGTTACCAATTTTATTAATAGAATCAGGCAGGAAGATAGAAAGCCAGAGAGGCAGTTCTGAAGTTGGAATTTGGCTCCCTATGAAAGTGCTATCCCAGATAGCTCGAATGGTGTCTTCATGGCAACTAACTGATATGTGGGGCTATAGAATACCATCAGATCTTAGTTCTGAATTACCTGTGGGCTATTCAGTGACTTTTACATCTCTTTCTAGGCTCTCCCCTATATAACGGAGGTTGGAAACCGGGGGACTACATTTCCAGTTAAATTCCACCAGTGAGAAGCACTCCTGGGAGATTTGAAAGTTTAGAAATTGTATTATTCATTGAGAAATTCATATCACTTATTTCTGCTCTGGCGCAGAAGCAGATGGGGGGTCCTATTGTGGCCCTTAGCACTGATACACCTACTATGGCAGTGCTCCGTAAAACTCACCCATCACTCGGTGCTCCACACTGCTGGCCACCAACAGAGGCTTCCTGTGGCTCCTCCAGGATCCCACTTCTGAAGAGCTGGCAGGAACCCGAGGAGCCCTGATGGCCTTCTCAGACCTTCCTTCTGCCCTTCTTACAAATAAACAAGGGTGTAAGTTCTGCTGGAAATGCCTGCTCTGGTTTCTGTCCTCCTGACCAAACAATGATCAGAACAACTTTTGAGGTTAGGAGACTACAAACTAGCCAGAACATCTTTATCTGAACAGGAACCAGAAAAATGTATTTCATCCTTCACTCCTGAGGTGATGACTATCCTCACTTCCATACTAATTGATCCCTTGCTTTTCTTTATAGTTCTGTTTATCATATTCACATAATAATATTCAAACAAAATTACTACCTAGTCTTGAAATCAGAGGACAAGCACACACCAGCCATGCAGGAAGAGCAGCACTGCCCCCGCTGGGCAGAGGCTCCCAGGGGAGGTGAGCAGAGCAGTCCTGGGCAGAGGCTCCCAGGGGAGGTGAGCAGAGCAGTCCTGGGGCACGGTCTGACTTCCGTTTCTCCGGGAGGTGACAAGGCCCTTTCTGGGGAACTTGCAAGCCAAACCACGAGTGGGTTTGAGAAACAGGGCCCTCCACAGACTGAGGTGTCAGCCAGGTGCTGGACATGCAGCAGAAGCCGGGTCAGTGAGAGTGGCTGCTCTGTCTTCTCTGCTCCTGAGCCCACCGTGGTCTACTTCCTGCTCTCGAGGAAAAGCTGAAAACCCCTGTGAGTGATGTGTGTGTCCTCAGCAGAGCCTAAGAGGAGAGACCCTCCTTACACATGGTCAAGACAAGGCAAGCGCTGGTGAGAATCTGGGCCAGTTCTCCTGAGCATTCATTCTATCCTCAAGTAAAGAAGGTGACCTGATGGAAATGGGGGTCTTGGTGATGACAGGCCATGTGGTTCAGCTGCCCTCCCCATCAGCAGCAGAGCTGTCATTCTGGGGTCACCTTTCATCTTCCTCCAGGAAGTCCCACCTCATCGCTCATCTCTCTTGCTTCCTGTCTCACAGTCTTCTGAATTTTCTTTTTTGTTCTAGTGGAGCACATCCTTCTTGAGTAAAGATGCTGGGAGGTAAATGTTTTGAGGCCTAGCATGTCTAGAAATGACTTTATTACTCACACTTGATTGAAGGTTTAGCTAATTATATAATTCTAGGTCAGATAAAAAGGTTTCTTTCAGAATCACAAAGGCAACAATCCCTTATCATGTTCTCAGTATTGCGGCTGAGGAGTCCAAAGTCCCTCTGGTACGCCTGTGTCAGTGACCTCCTTATTTCCTTCCTTTTGGTCCCTATGTTATCAAATATCACAACAAGGTGCCTTGGATCTCTCTTCATTCAGTGTTGACTTCAGTCTGGTTACTCATAACTGTCAGGTCTGGATGTTCTCTTGAGTTACTTTCTTGTAGACTTCATTTTGCTCCTCAAGCCTCTCAGAGGTCAAGCTGCTGGAGCATATATCTCAGGGGTAGAGATTTTGACTACAGAGGTCACGCTACTAGAATGACCTGTAATTTCTTATCCTTTCTATGATTCATCTTACTTTTTGTGCTACTAATTGGGAGGTTTCTTCAGTTTTCTCTCCCAACCTGTCTACTACCAAGATTTTTCATTTCTTCCAAATGATTTAATTTCCAAGAGCTCTTTTTTTTTTTTTTTTTAGCTCTGATACATTTAACTAAAGCCCATAATTTATTCATATGTCCATAATTTGTCTCTAATTCCCTTTTCCTATTCAAGGACATCACATGTCTCCTTCTGGCTATGACAGTTTCTCAGACTTCCTTTGTTTTTTATTACTTTGACAGTTTTGAGGACTATTGGTGGATATTTTGTAGAATGTCCTACACTTGTATTTGTCTGATGCTATTCTCATGGTTCTCATCGTTAAGACTGGTGTTCTGTGTTTTGGAGAGGAAGACTCCAGAAGTAAAATGCCATTCTCATCATTTCATATCAAGGGTACATACTGTCAACATGTCTTATCACTGTGATGTTAAACATGGTCATCTGACCGAGGCAGTGTTTGTCAGATTCTCTATTCCCCAGGGCTTTCTGGGGAATCCGCTTTCCATACTGAACTCTTTATTTATTTATTTTTAGGTTTTTATAAGCTCCAATTTTACTGACAGCATGAATAAGATATTGTATTTGGAAAACCTCAGTGAAAGACAAGGGAGACACAGTATTGTAAAGTAATTAGCCTCCAATTAAAATTAATAATTTTTTTTTAAAAAAAGACAAGGGAGAAGCAAATTTTTGAGAAAATGGCTTAGATTTAGAAATCAGACAACCACCACCACATAGTGGTCATCTCTATGATGAGCCGTTCTCTTCATTTCCAAGGTTACTGAAAATTCAGTCACATGCCAAATTTCTTATCAGATATTTTGAATTAGGTTAAAGTAAACACAGAAAACAATACAAACTGAAATCTAAGCATTAGTTCTAATGTCTACATAATATAAAAATGAAATACACAACGTTATTCACAACTCTCATACTGAACTCTTTAGAAGTAAGCCACACCATGGCTAATTCATTTCAATGTATGACAAAAACCACTGCAATGATGTAAAGTAATTAGCCTCCAACTAATAAAAATAAATGAAGAAAAAAAAAGAAGTAAGCCACAATGCCTACCCCACACTTAAAGAGTAGGGAGTTACGCTTCACCTCCATAGGAGGGACGTATCCACATGAATAAAAAAAAAAAAAGAAGTAAGCCACAATGCCTACCCCACACTTAAAGAGTAGGGAGTTACGCTTCACCTCCATAGGAGGGACGTATCCACATGAATTATTTGGAATTCAGTACAGATTTGTCTGTTCTTCCCCACTTTTTTGTTGTTAAATCATCTATTTCTATTACTGGGAAACTCATGGATGTTTATCTTCATACTCTGAGTCACAGCCTAGAACCAGGTTACTTACTTTGTTGTTCAAATTTTCCAGCGATGGCTACTGGGACTCCTTCAGTGGGCTCCTGTGGCACGCCCCCTTGTTTGTGGATGTGCTGCGGAAGCACTTCCTGTCTTGCCTATAGCCTGCTCTAGGCTCATCTTGGATATTCCCAGACCCTGCCCTAGAATCAACCATTGCTCTAAGAACCCCTGGTTTCCTTTATTTGAGAATGGCATTAGAAACAAGACTTAGGCTTTGAGTGTCTTACTCCCGGGATGCCATCACTTCTAAGCCATCTCAGCTGAGAGCACAAGACATAGTTTGTGTGCTGAATTTTTTTTAATGGTGGTTCTTGTTTCAAGGAAGCAATATTTTTTCATATCCTCTGAAGCCTGCAAAGATTTTTTTTTTTCCTGTTGGAATTTCCTTCTCTCTACATAGCCTGTTTTTCTATTTAATTTGCCTTAGTTTTCTTTGCCATATGACCATGAACTGTTCAGTCAGATTCAAGGTAGGTGGAACAGTCTTGGGCACACAGTGGCACTTATTTTGACGCTGAGATTCACCACTGGTCAATGTGGTAGGGGACTTGTGGGCAGATGGGGGGTCAGGCCTTTCCTTTAGTCTTCAGGGTTGGTCAGACTTGCAGAAAAGTTTTCTAGTCCCTTGCGTTTGAGCAAGGGTCCAGCAACTGGTACTCTGGGAAATACCTGGAAGAGGAGGGCTGAGGATCACTGCATTCAGTCATGGGGCCATGGGTTCCCCATTCTCATACAGCTCCCACACTTTCAGCTATGCCCCCAGCTCAGACACCCTGTTTCTTACCACTGGAAAGTAAAATCCAGACTTCTGCCTCTCCCAGCTGTTTTCTACCCTTTCTCTTTCCATGTCCTCATATGAGGCTGACTGACCAGCACAGGGGTGGGAGCGAGCTATTAAGAGTCCTTCTATGGGGGTTTTCAAACTTGATTTGAGACAGAGGGCCATCCCCTCGGGTGGTGGGAGAGCAGAAGGTGAAATGGGAAGAAGGAAGCTGACACAGAGGAATGGGATGGGACAGAGGGCCTCCCTCTGGCTGCCAAGGCCTCACCCCAGCTCTCAAGCCTGCAGTACAGAGACCAGCTTTACCCCTGCGATCCCTCAGATGCTACAGCGCAGGAAACTCCCTCCATTGTCCCCTTTGGCTTAAATGCAGTGTGGCTTTCTATAACACAACGAGACAGTATTGACTTGAACCCTCTGGCACATCTCTGGTCCTGGTAAGGGCTGGGGAGAAGACAGAGGAGGGCTTAGGGGAGTGGAGGGAGAGCAGGCCATGGAGGGGGAGACTGAAAGCCCACTCCACATGGAACCAAGGCTAAGATAAGCTAATCCCTTGCCCAAAGGACCATAACTGAAGTGGAGAGCCTGACTGGAACCCAGGCGAAGAGGCCCACGTGGGATGGGGAGGTGGGCAGTGTCTGCAGCATCCAGGGCAGGGAAGGGCAGCCAGAAACAGATTCTAAAGGGCCTCCTCATGGGCAGGCCAAGGGCAGAAGTCCCCAGTCAAAAACCAAGCCAGGTTTTCCTCTCTGACTACTCCTCTCTCAGCCCTACACCCTATCTCCAAGACCCAACAATTCCACGTCTGAACTGAGCTGAACTGATCATCCCTAAAAATTCACTTGTGGCTCCTGGTAATTATCTCCCCCCGCCCTCTAGCTTGACCTCTGGCAACCACTAATATGACTTTGCTTTTCCCAGAAGGTCATATATACGGAATCATATGTGGTCTTGTGTTTGGTTTCTTTCACTTACTGTTTTTAGTACTTTTGCCTGTTGTGCACGTGCCATCAGGCCAGCTGTCAGGCAATATCCTACTGCATGGATATACCACAGTTCCTTTCCATTCACTGAATTATGGACACATGGGTTGTTCCTAGTTTTTGACTGTTTTGAATAAAGCTGATATGAACATTCTTTATGTGAACATGCTTTTATTTCTCTTGGGTATATAGCCAATGATGGGACTGCTGGGCGATATGACAGGCATATGTTTAATGTCATCAGAAACTATCAAACTGTTTTTCAAAGTGGATAAACCAGTTTGCTTTTCCACCAGCAGTGTATGAGAGTTCCACAACATTGCCAACACTCGCTATTCTCTTTTTTAATACAGCCATCCTATTGGGGTGTGTAGCGGGGTGTGTACTGATAGTGGGTTGTAAATTAATTTGCATTTTCTTAAAGTTTTGAAACAATTTTAAAATCAGTTCCTTCCTCTTGACACCTGCTGCCTCGGACCCAAGCCAGCTGTCATCTCTTACAAGGGCTGTAGCAATAGCTCTTTAATTGGCCTTGTGATCTTAAGTCCCTCAACCCTGAAACTTCATGTGCCTTAATGATCTTTCCAAAACAAACATCCCATCACATTGCTCACTTCCTTTCTTAATACTCCACAGCAGCTGCCCATTACCTCCATAGCCAGGTCTCCACCCTGTGATGCCCCAAGGCCCAGTAGGAAAGGGGTGAGTGAAGTCGCAGGCAGAAGTGGGTAATAGGGAGTTAAGACTGTGGTGGACTAGGGTCTCACCTAATGGGGCAGCTGCCACTCAGTTCCAGCTGAAACTATGGGAATGTAAGCCTCACGTTGCCAGAGCTCTAACTATTAGCCAGACAGTGAAACCAACAATTTGAGAGTTTTCAAGGTGAAAGCTCCCAATTTTTAAATGTTGGCAACTAAAAAGCATAGAAACCTAGGGTTAAACATGGCACTTAGTGAGCTGAAGCCAGCCTATGGGCCTCCAGTCACCCATGCCAGTCCACCCACCTCAAAGCCCCCATAACTTTCCAGTATCCCTTCTCCATCTCCAACAAGAATAGCTGACGTGTGGTTCCCTGAACACAGCATGCAGGTCTTCACCTCAGAACCGCTGGGTCTGAATGCTCTATCTGCCTAAAGCACTGGCCCAGCATATTCCTGCTGGCTTTCCATCCTCAGCTGAGGCTTCCTCTTGTCCAGGAGGCCTTCCTCAACTGCTTTTCCCCACCTGGCAGGCTAGATCAGCTGTCAGTCATGCCCATATGTTCCCCTCTCCCCCATCCCTGCAGTTCTCAACACACTTGTGGCAGAATCTTCTCACTTGTTAGCCTCCACTGGAATTCTGTACACTCTTCCAAGTACAGGCCAGCTCCCTGACCCCTATCCTGTCACTTCAGCTGTGTCCATAAATGTTCACCGCACGTCATAAGCCAGAAAAAAGCAGAATCCTTTCAGAAAACTACATGACATGCTCTCCTCTGATGTGTACAATGATTTTTGGAACTCACTTTGCATGGGGTGATTGCTGCAAAGTCAGGACTGTAGTGTATCTGAGAATAGGTGCTCCTTTCTAATCTGAGAGGAATTAGAATGCTCCTTTGTAAACCAAGAGCTCTGAGAGCCAGACCTCATTAGTTTCCCATAATCCTTGATGGTGGCAACTGTTGCTTCCTATTTTCTGTTGTGCATCCAGAACAGGTAGCAGTATGTTGGGTGTGGGCAGGAGCCTATCAGGTGGGCCCTTATCAGTGCAGGCAACACTCGGGAATGACAATTTCAAACACGGATGGGCCATACTAAGTTTTAGAAAACTCGCTCTGGTAGCCAAGATGAGGGTGGCCTAAGGGGAACTCTGTACCTGGATCCCTTCCTCGACACTACCCCTCTTCTGAGGGCCTGGTGCCCCCAGCCTGGCCCTGGCTCACAGGCTTGCCAGCCTCCCCAATTTCTGCCACTCCCCTCGGAGCCCCTTAGCCCCTTAACTTCCCCATTTGCAGAGTCCTGCTCCTTCCCTCCAATCTGGCCCTTGCCCTGGCCACCCTATGAGGGCTGTTTCTCCTTTACAGTTCAAAAGTCTCCCCATCCCCAAAGTCCTCCCACCCCACCCACTGACCTCCGAGATCTTCCCCAACGGGTCCAGCCTTCGTGCCTCACTTCTAGCTTTGCTAATGGAAACACGGATCTGACAACAACTCTCCCATCATTTCACACCTTCAGACCTGCTGGAACCAGATCCAGAGGCTAGCTGGGGGACATGCCTCTGAAGGTCACTGCCAACAAATCACAGGTCCTAAGGGCACTCCCTTCCCTCCATCTATGACTCTGCCATTCTCCTCTGAGAAGCCCAGGAATGATCCTTTGTAAAACTACAGCTCTGACAGCCAGACCTCCTGAGTCTCCCATAACCCTAGATGGTGGCAATTTTTGTTCCAGAGGCTTGAACTCTGCTCCAGGCGTCTCCCCTCTGTCACTGACCTGCCGGGCCCAGGTGCCTACACATGGCCATCTTCTCCCACGCCTCGGCTTCTGGCAGCAACCCTCAAACTCCTTCCCAGTGAGCAAAGGAATCCAAGGTCCGTTCCTCTCGTCTCCACGTCCTTGCCGCCTCCGCCTCTCAGTCCTGGACGCCAAGGCCCCGTCGCCCTGGCCCTCCCCTCATGGACCTTCTCCGCCTTCCTCCAGACCGACTCGCCGCTGTCAGTCTGCACCTGCAAGCCCAGCGGCCAGGCTTTCGGTCCCGTCAGTCCCCTTCTCCATCGCCTCCCAGCGCGGTGTTCGGCCGCCGCATCGCGGGCGCCTGTAGAGCTCAGTCTGCGCGCCGAGCCGGGCCTGCGTCAATAAGACGCAGAGCGATCGGCAGCGCGGCCGCCGAGCGCCGCTCTCCGAAGAACTGGTCAACCAGCGCCGGGCTGGCCCCGCCTCTCCTCCGGAGCCGCCCGGCAGTAGCCCCAGCCCCGCGCGCGCGCGATTGGCCGCGCCCGCCCAGCTTCCCGCGCGCTGATTGGCCGGCGCACGGATCGGTCAGGCCGGGCGCCGCGGCGGCGGCTGCAGCGGAGGAGAAGCAATCCAGACCGGAAGGGTCCTAGGCGCCCCGGCGCCCCTCACACCCTTTGCGGCGGCGGCGACGGCGGCGGCGGGGCGGAGCGGAGCAGAGCGGGGCGGGGCGACCGGCCGAGCCCGGGGCAGCGGAGCCGCGAGCAGCTAGCGCGCTGCGCCGCCAGTCCGCCCGCCTGCCCTCTCCCTCTGGCGCGGCGGCGGGGAGGCGAGGTGAGCCCGGCGGGCGGGTTAGGCCCAGCGGGGACTCTGGGACCGAGCCTCGCCGGGGAGGGGCGGCGGGAAGGCCGCGGGGCCAGGCTCTGCGGGGACAGGGGGGTGCGGAGCGGGAAGACCGAGTTCTGTGGGCCGACCGGGGTCTGCGGGGTGCTGGCGACCCCGGCCGCAGCCCCTCGTCCTCCAGGCTGCCGCAGTCACCCCCTTACGCCCGGCTGTCCTCGCCCCACAGCTGCGGGCTCGCTACCCGCTCTGACCCGGCAGACCTGCTGTAGGGTCTGTGGGCGCCCCCTCCCCCGCCCCGATTGTTTGGCACCCAGCTGCATACCTCCTCCCGGATGCTCAGAAGCCTGGGATCTGATTGCTGCGACCTTGGCGAAGGCACTGATCCTTGCTGTTCCTCTGTTTTCCCCTCGGCAAAGTGGGGGAAATGTCTCCCCTTTTTGGACAGGGTTGTTGTCAAGCTCTATGAATGTGTGTGAAAGCCCCTGGGCAGGAGCCCGCCCGGTGCACACTTGTGGAAAAATGGGCGGGATACTGCTCCTTGCTGGTTTGAGTGTAGCAGAGTCCGCCCAGAGTCCTCCATCCTCGTGCTCCCCAAGTGCCTTGTCATTGCATACTCAGTGCCCAGCAGTGCCTGAGCGGGCCCTGACCAACTCACCCCCGACAAGCCCCCCAACCCGGAGCACTGGTCTCCTAACCTACCCATCTTACTGGCCTTGAACATTCAGCCCTGTTTACCTCAGGACCTTTGCACTTGTGTCCAGTGATTGGAGTTGCCTCGCGGATCTTTGCACAGCTGACTCCTTCTGGTCCTTCTCACATGTTTCAATTTACAGAATGCTGTTCTTGACCACCCTTTTTATTCCTTTAGTCATTCTGTCTCATTACGTTAATTTTCTTTCCAGTATCTGGTTTGAAACTATTCTATTGATTTGCGTGTTTATTTTCTGTCTCTCCCATTAGGATTATAGCTTTATGAAAACAGGTAGTTGTCTGATTTGTCCACTGCTTTATCCCCAGTGCTTAGAAAGCACGCAGTAAGTATTCAGTAATATTAGTTAAGTGAGTGAATGAATGAATGAATGACCCTGCCAGCCTGTTGCCTCTGCTTTCTCTGTTTGTTTAGTGACTTCTGACTAACTTGTGAAACTTGTATGCAGATGGTAGGTTGCTTTAGTTTTGTGAAACATTTTAATGTCCTTGACCCCTTTATTTGGTAACTATCAGAACAAGCTGTAATATAAAATCTGACATTTTTATAATGTTTTAGCTCCAACTTCCTTCCTCTCATTCAGGACAAATTGACTGAATTCTACATTATCTAGGTCAGCTTTCTGCTCAGCCCTGGGGACACAAAGGCAGTAGCAACAGGGTCCCTTCCTCCAGAGAGCCCAAGAGCCCCGTAGAGAAAGCAGACATGCAGACAGTGCTCAAACAGCTTGCTGGAGAGGAGGGGCTGTGCTGTGGGAACTTGGAGGAGGTGGTGGTGCTTGGCTGGTGCTGGAGTTGACTTGAATGGCGATGAGAAACTTGTCAGGTCTAGGGGAAGGCAAGAAGTGGGGAAGGGCAGGGCGAAGGGGGAGCTTCAGCCCAGTCAGTTCAGTTCAGTCACTCAGTCGTGTGCAACTCTTTGAGACCCCATGGACTGCAGCACGCCAGGCTTCCTTGTCCATCACCAACTCCCAGGGCTTGCTTAAACTCACGTCCATCAAGTCGGTGATGCCATCCAACCATCTCATCCTCTGTCATCCCCTTCTCCAATATTCAGCCCAATATTGGGGTCAAAAATCAGCCTGTGGGGCCAGGTGTGAGAGATCGGAGTAGTGGAGACCCTTGAGAACCAGACGCCACTTACCCAGCAATTTTTAGAAAGAAGTCAGAACTTGAGATTTGTATCTGTACTCTCTTCATTTTTAATTATTGGCAGTAGCTTATTTTAAAATGTTTTCAGTGCTATGAGCCAAGCAAATGCAGACCTCATTCAGTTTTATTTCAGGATTGTCAGACTCCGGACTTCAAGGCATGTTGTTTAGGAGGGAAGAGTTGCAGTGAACTAGAAAGGTAGCTTAAGACTAGGGGAGCTAGGCCTTATTTGTCCAGGAACTCTCTTTTGTCACTGGAGCCCTGTGATAGCAGCTAGGAAGCCTGCTAGCCTCCACTTTCTACACCGGAGGAAACAGAGGCTCCTAGAGTTTGGGCAGTCTGTTTTGTAGCAAGCAGCTGGAAAGTGAAATTTGAACCCAGGTCTCCCACAGATCAGCATTCTTTCCTGAGTCCCTTAGGTCTGAGTATTTTCTTTGGCTCTTAATTTGTTCTGGAAGAATAAAATCCAATCTAGATAACATTTCCCTTCATTTAACCTTTTTTTTCCCCTTCGTACAGGGTTAAAGACAATCCTATTTTGGCATAGTCGTCTCTGAAGAGTGTTGATTTTCCTGAGTTTCTTGAGGAGAATCCACTCCTGAGAACTTAATTTTCAGGTTGCCGCTTTGAATAATTTGTTGACAGATTAAAATGTGTTTATTTGGCCTTCCTAAATAAGTGTTAGAGGGTACACCTCAATTTGTCTGTTTAAAATAAAATGTCTTAACTTTCTGGATAGAGAAAAGTGTAGATGATGCAATTACTAGTGAGTAAACCAATTTATTTCATGATATGTGAGGTAAAACCCACATTTTTTCCTTAACATTGTCGATTTGGCAGTAGGAGGGCATGGCAGCTCACTCCAGTATTCTTGCCTGAAGAATCCCATGGGCAGAGGAGCCTGGCAAGCTTTAGTCCATAGGGTCGCAAAGAGTTGGACACAACTGAAGTGACTAACACACATGCACGCACAGCTGTTTTTGATCTAGTTATACTTGGTTAAGAAGGTGACATTTTTACATAATTGTCCTTAAGAATTATTAAATTTGTATTTGGCCTTTTGTGATTGTATGAACTAGTTTCAACAACAGTCTTTGTTATAACTGTTTATTATGAGAAATTTCAAACATGTAGGAAAGTGAACAGAGTAGTAACCAGCTTCAGCAATTACTAACTACTGGTCAACCTTGTTCATCCCTGACCTCATGCCTACAACTCTCATACACACACACACACACACACGGCGCTTTTATTTTCAAGCAAATCCTAACTATCATGTCATTTCACGCATAAATTTTTCAGTTTATGTCTGAAAAATTTTTAAAATAAGAATTCTTTTAAACTTGGAAAAGCAGTAATTAGTCATTCTGTAATATCAAATAGCCAGTTAGCATTCAAATTTCCAGTTGTCTCATAGATTTTATAGTTTCTTCAATAGTTTCTTCCTTTGGAATCCAGATACAGATAAGGACCATTTATTGTGTTTGGTTGATAGTATCTTTTAATCTGTAGATCCCTCTTTATTTCTGTTTTTCTTTTCCATGTAGTTTATTTGTTTAAGTGATAATATTTCTGTTATTGGGATTTTACTGATTGTACCTCTGCAATGTAATTTCTCGTGTTTCTCTGTATTTCTTGAAAATTTGTAGCTGGATTTAGACAAGGTTTGGTTGGATCCAGGGAGCCTTCTTAGGTGGATTGTGCGCTTCCTCTAGAGGCAAGTAATCTTGCTTGACTCACACTATGATGTTAGCCACTGTTGATACACCGTGCCTGGACCCTTTGATTCATTAAAAGGCCAAATTATCTTGGGGGACAAGTTTGTGTATCTTTTGCACAGCAAGAATTCATTTTTTATAAAGTACTGTGAGTCTTTTCAGGTTTTATATTGGCCTTTGGATTGCCAGTTAAAATATTTTTCACTGGTGCCTCAAATCCTCTTTGGAAAATGTTGGGGTATAAATTAATAGATATGAAAATAATCAGCAAGAATAGTCTCAATTTTAGCATAGGAATTCCTTATAGCTAAGGAAATTTACTAGATATTTGAAAGTAGAATTTAGCAAAATCTGATTTTCTTTAATCTCATTTGGTTTTTTGGTTCATTTTCTTGGTTTTGGATTTTATAAAATATTCTACTCCCTCTTTCTCCTAGCTAATTTTACCTAAGAACTTTTCTTAAGTAAAGACTACATACTCTAAAACTTCAGGCATAATAAAAATAGATTCTAAGGATATATGAATTACAAATGAGGTCGGTTTTTTTTCCCCCTCCTTTGTGGCTCAGATGGTAAAGAATTTGCCTACAGTGCAGGAAATCCCGGTTCAATCCCTGGGTCGGGAAGAACCCCCGGAGAAGGGAATGGCAACCCACTCCAGTATTCCTGCCTGGAAAATCCCAAGAACACAGAAACCTGAAAACAACTGAGCAGCTTAATTAACACTTTCAGGTTTTCAAAAGCAAGGTGTTAATGTTAACTCTCTTTATGTTAAGTAAATTCTGGCCTGTTTTAAGGTTGTTATTTGAAGTATTTCCATACCTGAATTATTTGCCATTAGGAGAATGAACAGTGTGAAAACCACCTGTTAGTTTGTCTTTCCATAGGCCAGCATAGGAAAAACCTGGGGATTTGGTTTAAAAACATATTTTTACTTAGAACAATTTGTTTAAAAAGCATAGCTCCACTCCCTACAATGATTCTGAGAGAAAGAATAAGAATAATTGCCTTTAAAACAACTCCTTTTCCTTAAAATATATGTTTATACATACACATATGTTTCTACAGATTTGTAAATAATTTAATATGTTACACTATTTCAATATTGTGTATCTAAATTGATGCTGCTACTAGTTTGATTTCAGAATATCTAGGCTTAAGGATGCAAACCAGATAGTGAATCCCCTAGCTCTGATTCTGGAATCAAATCTGTTTTTCTAACTCTTAATTCTCAGAAACATAGCTACTATTATATGTTGTAAAGTGGATGACTTCTAAAAATTTCATGACACATCATCTATCTGCCACACCCTAGAATGAAAAGTAAATTCTGTGCCTTGCTTCCTGTCGTATCGTTCATGGAGGTGCTCACCAGTATGAACCATGTCAACCTTTGCACTTACCAGGTTTTAG